AGGATGTTGGCGGAGGGGGGCGGGGTGGGGAGTCAGTTGTGGGAGATTACCAGAAAAGCACAGTAAACAAGAGTAAGGTTATTATGCAGATTTAAGTCCTTCCTTCCACATTGATAAGAGTTTCTAGAGATAAGGTCATCCCCCTCTTCCTGGTACAGAGAGGGAGACACCTTTACAGATGGAGATTCCCTTTACATCTAAATATCTCTTAACAAAGGGTAAGTAAATTCTACTTTTCAGAGTTTCTTTCCTGTCTGCAGTTTTTAAAAGTAACCAGCCTAAAATAATCCTCATGCCAAAGAGACGTATCTTGAGGTGGCCAATTCCAGTCCCCCACAGCCCTGAGCTGACATCTGTTGCCAATCTTCCTCTTTTTGCTTGAGGAAGATTATATCTGAGCTAACATCTGTGTCCATCTTCCTCTATTTTGTATGTGGGACGCTGCCACAGCATGGCTTGATGAGCTGTGTGTAGGTCCACACCTGGGATCCAAACCAGTGAATCCCAAGCTGCTAAAGCAGAGCACACAAACTTAACTGCTACTCCACCAGGCTGGCCCCAGGACTTGTATTTCTAACAAGTCCCCAGGTGATGCTGGAGCAGGCTGGTCCAGGGACCATATTAATGCAGTAAAAAGGCCCTTGGCTGCCTCTGCATCATTAAGATGCTGTGAGAAGACACAGTAAACATAAGTACAGATAGGACTTATGGCCTTGAAATAAAACTCAGAATTTGCCGACTTTATTATCTAAGCAACATGTATTTCATTCAGATAATGTGCCCAAATGTAAAGGCAGACTTCCAAGTGCCTCACAATTCCTTAACTTGCTATGGGGCTAAACACCTAAGAGTGGGCAGGGCTGGCTCCTTCTGGAGGCTTTAGGGGAGACCGTTCCCCTGCCTCCTTCAGCTCCTGGAGGTGGCCTGCATCTCTGGCCCCATCTTCCCCCAGAAACCCGCACATTTCTCAGTCTTCCATCTTGGTCAATGTCAGGTCCGTCCCTCCAATTGGTGGGATGCCAATGTCTTCAGAGTTATCCTTGCTTCTTCTGCCTCATAACACCCCATCCAGGAATAAGGGAATCTCTGCTTCAACCACCTGCACCATCTCCTCTCCTCGTACCCTCCTGAGAACCACTCCCGTCCTCTGCTTGGGTGACTATTGGTGCTCAGAAGGCTTCCTTGTTCTGTTGGTCCCCAAAACACATACTGAGATATTTAAAACAAATTGGATTCCATCACTCTTTTCAAACCCTGTGATGACTATCTCATTATGGAATCCAGTGTTGTCATAATCGGCCACATGAGCCCTGCCTAAACATGCCTCCCACTGTGCTCGTAAATCTCTTGTATCAACTACCCTTCCTCAAGGCCCCATGCCCCTGTAGGGGACTGGGATTGGCCACCCCAAGCTATGTGAATGTTCGGGTTAGGAGTGAGACCTGTCAATTTTTGGCATGAGGATTATTTTGGGCTGGTTACTTTTAAAAACTGCAGGCATAAGGGCCAGCCCAGTGGCACAGTGGTTAAGTTTGCACGTTCTGCTTCGGCAGCCCGGGGTTCACCAGTTCGGATCCCGGTTGCAGACATGGCACCGCTTGGCAAGCCACGCTGTGGCAAGCGTCCCACATATAAAGTAGAGGAAGATGGGCACGGATGTGCATTCAGGGCCAGTCTTCCTCAGCGAAAAGAGGAGGATTGGCAGCAGATGTTAGCTCAGGGCTAATCTTCCTCAAAAAGCCAAAAAAACAAACAGAAAAACCAAAACTGCAGACATGAGAGACACTCTGAAAAGTAGAATTTACTTACCTTTTGTTAAGAGACATTCACATTTGTAAAGGAAATCTCCGTCTGTAAAGGCGTCTCCCTCTCTGTACCAGGAAGAGGGGGATGACCTTACCTCTAGAAACTTATCAGTGAGGAAGGCAAGGACTTAAATCTTCGTGGTAACTTTATTCTTGTTTACTGTGCTTTTCTGGTAATCTGTAACTGGCTCTTCCTACCCTCAACATCCTCCTTTGTCTTTAGCTGAGGATGGTATTTAAGGTGAGAGCTTCCACCATTTTGGCGAGTTACTCATTTTTCTGGGTCTCTCCCATCTATGCATGTTATAAAGCTTTGTTTAATTTTCTCCTGTTATTCTGTCTCATGTGGATTTAATTCATTGTCTGGCCAGAAGGACCCAGAGTGGGTAGAGGAAATGTCTTTCTTCCCTACACCCCCCCTTCTTCCTTGGGTTCCTCCAGCACACCGTTCTTCAGGCCACATCATACACGCCTTCTCTCCTTTCTTCAAGGCCTGCCTGCAGCCATCTGCATGGGTGCATTCCCTACTTCATAAAGGGCTCAGCTGCAATGCTGAGAGAACATCCCAATCATCCAGGCCAGCCGAGCTGCTCCCACACCATCCCAGTTCACTGTATGCCCATTCTGATTTTTCTGCATGGTACCAATCACCAGCTAAACACTTACACACCCCTATTTATGCATGAAGGAGCCACACCAGAACAGGGTTCTATTTTATATAATGTCATGTCTCATACCAGAGCACAAATGCATGAATTTTCTTATCTACCATCCTTTACAAGCTTGATCGATTGTGCGATTCAAATGTTTGATCCTATCTCTTGACCATGACTTGTGTTGGAGAGGGAGAAATTCCCCCCTTCGACCCTTTTGTGTTCTTATGTCTGGACTAACAACATAATTAACACAAGACCAGAGGAAGAGGAGAAAAACCCAATTTAATACGTACATATGGGAGATCATAGAGAAAGGATGCTCGGAGAGTGAACAAGGCAGGCAGCATAGGTATCTTTTAGGCAAAGAAACAATAAATTTGTGAGGGAGGACAGCACAAAGAAACTTAGGTTTGGGGTATGTAGTTAGAGGAATTTAAACAGAGTTTAGGCTTGAGGTAGTAAATTAGTAAAAGTAACAGGGTTTGATTATGCAGCTTCTCGGTCCTGAATTCTGTAGCTCTGGTGACTGGGATGCAGGAAGAGCATCTTCACGTGGGAGACTTATTTCCTGCTTTCAGGGGGAACAGAGACAGGGGGTCAGGATGTCCTTTTTGCTTCTCAAGTAACTTTAATACAAAATAATCAATATGCCAGTGTGAGATATTTTGGGGTGGCCTGTCCTGGACCCCCAACACCTGAGGATCAGACATCATTGTTCTCAAAATGCATAGGACTTAACCCACTCCGTGGAATCTTTCCTGGTTTCCATCTTTCACCTTGTATCCTTGCCTTGTGCCCGCCATGCTGGTAGGGCCCATGGTTTTCTGTGCAAACCTTAACCCCCATCTCCCCTCCCTAAGTTTCAGGGATCCCCCAATAACTGCTGTCTCTGGAACCAGACCATTTGCACTGGGACACCCTCTCCATCCAGAGTGGACGCCTTGCACCGCAGTTCTGCCCCTTTATCTTTCTTTTTTTTTTTTTTTCAAAGATTTTATTTTTCCTTTTTCTTCCTAAAGCCCCCCGGTACATAGTTGTGTATTTTTAGTTGTGGGTCCTTCTGGTTGTGGCATGTGGGATGCCTCCTCAGCATGGCTTGATGAGTGGTGCCATGTCTGTGCCCAGGATCCGAACCAGTGAGACCCTGGGCCCCCAAAGCAGAGTGCTCAAGCTTAACCACTAGGCCACGGGGCCGGTCCCCCCTTTTTTTTTTTTTTTTGAGGAAGATTAGCCCTGAGCTAACTACTGCCAATCCTCCTCTTTTTGCTGAGGAAGCCTGGCCCTGAGCTAACATCCGTGCCCATCTTCTTCTACTTTATATGTAGGACGCCTGCCACAGCATGGCTTGCCAAGCAGTGCCATGTCCGCACCCGGGATCTCAACAGGCAAACCCCGGGCCACCGAAGTAGAACGTGTGCACTTAACTGCTGTGCCATCGGGCCGTTCCCTCTGACGCTTTGTCTTGACTTCCCCTCTCCAGGCCATGCTCTGGGAATTTCCTCTTGCAGCTGTATTAGTGGGAAAAGCTGTGCTCAGTGGATGTAACAAAAGAGTCCCCAAATCACAGTGGCTGGACAAGACAGACCTGTGTTTCTCTCTCACATAAGAGGTCTGTGGTGACACAAGGCCAGCAGGTAGCTCTGTTCCCCGAACTCACCCAGGGACCCAGGCTGACGGGATGTCTCTCCCATCCTCTACAGATGGCATCCACACCTTGTCCTGAGGTGGCCGCCACAGTCGTCACCAAACCCCAGGCAGCAGGAAGATGGAAGAAATAAAAATGGAGAGCAAGCAGTTTTCTTACAAAACCAAGATCCATAAATCACACAGATCATTCCCCTCATACCCCATCCTCCAAAACTTAGTCACCTGACCAAGGTAGTTGCAAGGGAGGATGGGAAATGTTGTCTCCGACTGGCCATCATGGTCCAGATAAAATTCAAGGTGCTCTGTTGTAACACGGAGACTGGATAAGCAGAGCGATCAGTGGTCTCCACTGTTACTGCCAGAGGCTGTGTTTCCTAAGGAGAAAAGCAGTTCAGGGGCCGGCTCCGTGGCCGAGCGGTTAAGTTCGCGCGCTCGGCTCCAGCGGCCTAGGGTTCGGATCCTGGGCACGGACATGGCACCGCTCGTCAGGCCATGTTGAGGCGGCGTCCCACATCCCACAACTAGAAGGACGTGCGACTAAGATATACAACTGTGTACGGGGGCGGGGTTTGGGGAGATAAAGCAGGAAAAAAAAAAAAAAGAAAAGCAGTTCATTCCGTATTCCATTTTCCTAGAATGCACTACTGTAACCACAGTCAGCTTTTAACTTGTTTCCCCTTCTTCTCCCCAAAGCCCCCCAGTACATAGTTGTATATTTTAGTTGTGGGTCCTCCTCGTTGTGGCATGTGGGAACGCCGCCTCAGCGTGGCCTGATGAGTGGTGCCAAGTCTGCGCCCAGGATCCAAACCATGGAAACCCTGGGCCAGCAAAGGAGAGCACAGGAACTTAACCACTCAGCCACGAGGCCAGCCCCTCACAATCAGCTTGTAAACTAGCATTTTTTTCCTCCCTCCTCAAACCGGAAATAATTGCATTCATTGAAAAAATTAAAAAGAAGCAGATAAGCAGCTCTCAGGAAATTTTCTGCCCTGGGCTTCTCAGAAGAACACCCTCTCCCCTTGGTCAACACATCCCGGCCAGCTTTCTGGACCAGCTCATTCCCGAGGCAGGAGATGAAGGGGTTCAGCAGAGGCGACACGGTGGTGTTGAGGAAAGCAAGTCCTTTGTTGAGGCGCAGCCGCCCGGTCTGCGTGGGGCTCAGGTACATGACGGCGCAGCTCCCGGAGGTGAGGGACACCACCAGGATGTGGAAGGAGCAGGCGGAGAAGGCCTTGCGGCGACCCCCCGAGGAAGGCAGGTGCAGGACGGTGGCGACCATGCAGCCGTGGGAGGGGCCGGTCACCAGCACGGCGCTGGCCAGGGTGCGCACGGCCACCAGGAAGCGCACTGGCTGCAGGAGGCCGGTGTGGGCGCAGGCCAGCGCCAGCAAGGGCGCGCTGTCGCGGAAGAAGTGATGGAGGACGCCGGGGCCGCAGAAGCGGAGGGAGAACATCCAGACGCCGGGCCGGTGAGGAAGAGCAGGCGGCGCCCCCGCAGGCCAGCTCGAGCGCGGGCACACGCGCGTGCTCACGAGGGCTGGGGGCCGCAGCGGGCGGCGGACGGCCCGGGAGCGGTGGGCGGCCGTCACCGCAGCAGCAGGGGCTCCGCCGGGCCCAGGAGGAAGGAGAGCCCCGTCTGCGCGGAGCATCCGGCCCGGGGGATGGTCCCGCGTCCCGTGAGGAGGTGGGCCGGCATCTGCGGGGGACGGCGGAGGGGAAGCCCAGCTCCAGCAGCGCGAAGTGCCGCAGGAAGTAGTACACGGGGGCGGCGAGGCGGCGGTCGGCCACCGGCAAGGTGACGATGAGCAGGTCCCCCGGGAGGAGGGTCGCGACTAAGTGAGGAGGAGCGCGGCGAAGAGCATGAGCTGCATGCAGCGCGCGCACGTCGGTGACCCCCGGGAGCACAAAGGCCAGCGCCTCGGTGCGGTTGGCTGCGCGGCCCGGCCCGGGGGCGCCCATCTGTGAGGCAGGAGAGCCGAGTGGTTAGAGACGCGGCCCCGAGGAGGCCGTCTGCGCCTGATCCTGGCTCTGTCGCTTAGCTTCTCCGGGTCACAGCGGCTCCATCAATACTGCGGGGGCAATATGTGTGCCCGCCCCATAGGTGGTTGTGACGATGAAATGAGTGACAGCCTAGAACAGGGCTTGGCACATAATGCACACCATCCCCGATGCTACCTATTATCTGTAAATACGGGAAAAAGCATCATTTCCTTTCATCAGAAGAGTTTGCCTCTTGTCCCTTTGGAACCCTATTTGCTGAGTAAATGCTTTGCCCTGAGACCTGTTCCTGGCAGGGCTTTACTTCATATAGACTGAGTTCATACAGTTTCGGACCAGAAAGGATAATATAGAGAATTTTGGTTTTGCCCTTTGCAAGTATTTATCTGTTTGTTAATGTCTTTGAATTGTAGTATCATACACATTTTGAGAAGCGCATATATCATTACTGTGACATTCGCTGCGTTTCCTCAAACGGAGCGTCCGATTGCAACCAGCGCTCAGATCAAGAAGCAGAATGGGAGCAGGCTCCCACGCCCCTTTAGCCACACCCCCTCTCCCAGAGGAAACCAGACAGAAGGATTCGGAGAGGGGAGAGACGGGTGAGGTGTTTGCCAGCTGGAGAAGAACTCTTGAAAATTCGGAGCTACTGTGGTCTGCTCTACCACGTCAGTTGTCTCTGCAGAACATGGGTAGCGAATGCCGCCCTTGTCCCCGTCTGAAATGCCGTACTCATTCCTCTAGAGCAGCAGCACCCAACTAGAAATATAATGTGAGCCACAAATGCGAGCCACATATGTGATTTCAAATTTTCAAGGAGCCACATTAAAAGACGAAGTAATAAGAAACAGATAAAATTGTTTCATCGTACATTTTGCTTAATCTAATATATCCAAAATATTTTCATTTCCACATGTAATCGTTATGAAAAAGTCATTCATGAATTGCTTTACGTAGTTTTATTTTGGGCTAAGTCTTCAATCTGGTGGGTATTTCATACTTTCAGCACATCTCATTGCAGACCATCCACATTTCAAGAGCTCAATAGCCACACGGGGCTCACGGCTACCGTATTGGATAGATGTGGTGGTTCTAGACCGTTATCCAGGCCCCGGGTCATTCGGTATCCATTCCTATGCCCTCCCATCCATCTTCCATTTCAGCTTTAGAGAGATCTGTCTAGCTCTCAGGGCTGACCCTGTTTCTCCTCTGCCCAAACCCTCCATGGCCCCCTAGTGCCCTTGGGATAAAGTCCCAGCTCCTCAGCTTGGCATTCAAGGCCCTTCTTGATTGGCCCTCAGCTGACATCTACAAAGTGACTGAGGGATGAATCTCCCAGGCTCGGGTACTTTAGATCCCCCAGAACTCCATGATATGACCTACTCCCTTCCTTTCAATTAAGAACAGAAACGAACACAAAATAAAAACACTTCTCTACGGTAGAGAGAACTCCTCATGAGACTTTAGACAGACCTGGATTTGGACCTTGGCTCTGCCATTTGTCGTGTGTGTGGCTATAAGAGGAAGGAGCTTCACCTTTCTGAGGCTCAGTTTTTTCCCCTCTAAGGTGAGGTAATACCTGCTCTGCCTTTTCCATCGATTTTTTGTGAGACTCAACTATAGCGATGAAAATATTTCATACTTCTAACATGCGATGCAAACATGAGAGTTATTAAAAGAATCGAGTTTCCTCCGTCTGTTGGCATGTGTCACTTCCACGGGTTCTATCCAGCTAAAGACTGATCATCCGAACCTGAATCTTGGGTTAGGATGCCACCTCGTATCTGCAGTTAACCAGGCTGCCCTCTCCCGACTCTTCAGGCCAGGCCGCTGAGGGAATCTCATGGCCTCAAAACCACACGAGGAAGGAATCACTATCCATCCCCCCGAGTCCCATTCCGGTCCCATCAGCATCGGGGAGACCCCTTCTTCTGCCTCTTCAGCCGTCTCCTCCCGCTCTGTCCGTCCTAGACGGTGACGTGAGTGGTGCCCCTGCAACGGGTAACAGCAGTCATTCTACCTGGAACTTACACGGTCTTCTTCATCACAGAAGGTCAGGGTTCCGACTCTGGAATTTTCCCAGAGAGGCATATGGCATGAAACAGAGACAAAGGAGAAGGTAATCAACAAAAGCAACAGGGGTGACAGAGACGAGGAGAGGCACTGGGAGGAAGAGAGACAGACAGACATGGAAAGAAAGAACCAGAGGGAGAGCAGAGGTACAGAGTGGGGAGGACAGGCAGACGAAGAGAGACAAAGCAAGAAAGAGTCAGAGAGCTAGAGACAGTGGGAAAGAAGCAAACAGGGAAGGAGAGAGAAAGGCAGCGAGAAAAATAAGATGAAGACAGAACAGGGAAAGAAAGACAGAAAGAGAGAAAGTCGGAGACCCAAGAGAGACTCTGAGCAAACAAAGAGACAGAAAACAGTGAGGACAAGGTCTTTGAGACTCTCGGTAGAATGGAGCTCTCCTGGTGCCAGACGCTATTGCTATTCCAGACCATAAATCCACCCCAAATGGGAAGGTGGGAATCCTTTCCCCTCCCCAACTCTTCTCACTCTAGGAGGTCCCATCCCAGTGGGACATGAGTCAGGCCTGAGGGACCCAGAAAACTTTGACAACTTCTAATCATCCTTAAGGGACTGACTAACTCAACTTCCTTCAAATTCTACTCAAGGGAACTTGTTTGGGGGCTAAAGTTTTGGGGACAGTCTCCTTTTTGTTTCCTTGTTTACTTTTCCCCAAGAGCGGAATATGACCAGGCTGGATTCAGGTCATTTTCTAGTCTTTCTCTTATTTTCAGCAGAGTAGCAAGAGTCAACCCCACTGGACTCATGTGGTTGATGATTCTTCAGGCCTTGATGTCCCCAAGGTTTAGCCCTGTAATACTCACCAGAATGGTGCTCGCTTATTAATAACCTGCTATGGCAGGTATATGCAAATTTTCTTTTTCCTGCTACGGTGTGCGTCCTTTTCCTAACAACATCTTCAACACCATGTTCAGGAGTTGTCTCTGGTCACCAAGTGAGAGACTCTTGGCTGTCTCTCCATATTCCTTCTTTTCCCAGGACTCTCCCTTTTAACTGGATCTGATATTTGCGTCATCCCCAAATTCATATCTTGAAACTCTAGTGCCCAAGGTGATGGTATTAGGGTGTGGAGCCTTTGAGGAATGATTAGATCATGAGGATGGAGCCCTTGTGAAGGGGGTTAGTGCCCTTACGCAAGAGACCCCAGACAGCTCCCTCCAGAGCTGTGAGAAATAGATGTCTGTTGTTTATAAGCCACCCAGTCTGTCCTATTTGTTAGAGCAGCCAAACGGACCAAGACAGAGGGCTCCGCAGACTAAAACCCGCTTTTGCCAGTCCCCTTTGCAGATCTGGATGGCCCCACATTCTAGCCAAGTGGCTATGGGCAGTATTGAGTGTCCACTTTCCAGGTCAAATGCAAAACAGCAAATAATGACCCAGTCTCTTCTCTTTTTTGTGCCTGCTCCGCCTTGATGATTAGAATGTGGTCTTGGTGGTGTCATCATGGGTCACAACTGCTCACATCTCCTTTTCCACCTCCACATAGAACCCAATGTACGGCTATCTGATAACAAGTCAAAATGCTAAGTGTAGGGACAAATTGTAAAAGACTTCGAAATGCTTCAAAGATAGGACTGGGTGTCTTCAGTGGAAAACAAACACCTTTTTGGGTTATCTGATTCTATAGGGTTTAGTATCAATTGTACTTTTGGGATTTTAATTTGTAGAAGCGACTTAGTGATGACATGGAGAGGTCAATGCCACTGCATGATTTGTATCACTTACACTTTCTGAGAGAAGATGTGGGGTTCACCCTGCCATGCGGGGCCATGTGGGGAAGCACCATGTTTGGTTAGGACACAGAAGGAGTGAGGGGAAAGCAAGGCCCAGGGCTGTTATTGTGTTTTCCCCACTTTTTTCTTTTTTTTTTTGCAGAGGAAGATTGGCCTTGAGCTAAAATCTGTGCCCATCTTCCTCTATTTTGTATGTGGGATGCCACCACAGCATGGCATGATGAGCAGTGTGTAGGTCTGCACCTGGGATCCAAACCTGCAAACCCTGGGCCACCGAAGCAGAACACACTAATTTAACCATTATGCCACCATACCTGTCCCTTCCCCAGTTTTTAACCTGGCTACTAGAAAATTTAAAAATACGTATGTGGCCTTCATTATGTTTTTATTGGACTGTGCTGTAGGATATAATACCTATTCATATTTTACCTTAAAAATATTGACCAATTTATAGTACATAGCCAGATAGTAATAATAATACAAGTAAAACCCATTTGATGGAGTGTTTACCATTTGAATGTGCTTTATACATATTTACACATTTAATTTTCACATCAGTGTTGTGAATTGATAATAACAGCTCACATCGCTACAGTGCTTACTACGTCCCACGTATTTTCACTACATGTTTTAACTCTATTAATTCTCAAAATGTGGAGGTAGATAGCATTTTTAAGCCCATTTTCATAGCGATGAAACTGAGGCAGACAGTTTCAGTAGAGTTCCCAAGTCACAGAGTAGTGTTATTCTGGAGCCCATGCAAAACTTATGCATAAATATACATGGATTGGTTGCATCCAGAAGAAAATATTTTAATGATAGGCAAGTTTGATCGATTTATAAAGTGGGACCTGGGATGAAGGACAGGAGGCTGAGAATCTGGGATTTGAGCTCTAAGACAGAGCATTTGCATGATGCATTCAAAGGCTCTCAGTGATCCGCATTTTCTTCCTCTCCAGGGTGGGACCTGGATGAGGCAGGCAGAGACTGGAGGGTGGTGCGGCCCCAAGGACACAGAAGGTGAAGGAAAGAGCAAAAGGTGGAGGAAGCTATAAACCATGGAGGCAAGAATCTCAAAGTTCCCCTTTCAGTCCTAAGAAGAAGCTGGAGGAACTGTCAACAACAGAAGATTTTAATGAC